TATATGTTTTTGTTCTCTACAAAACAGTCCAACCACAGCAAATGTAAGTCTATGTTTTCCTTTTGTTATCTATCAATACAACTGTATATATAGAATGGCATTAACCAATGTGACATTAGCGATCCCTCATGTTTAATCGCAAACATTTTAGTTCTACGCTGTGTATGACAGAATTATACATGAAATGCTTCAGAGAATTAAATCTAATTTTAAGCTACATGATAGTTGGGTAAATATGCTGAATAATTTATGAAGCCACATTTAAAAAAAGATCTGAATGAGTTCCCCATCTTGATGGCTCAAAAGCCAAGATCAATGTACAAGCCAAGGGTAAACAGTTGTTCTTTCACATGCACACACCTTACCCTTAGTTGTATTCTGTAACTCTTCTACATTTTACCTGAAATTTTCTCTGGTTCTGAGCAACAGCTTTCCAATGATTATCCATATATTCCAGTATTTGATTTTAAGAGGCTTACATTTTTCATATAAGCTACCAGTTATCCTTTTTAATAGTTAGGGCCATTTGGGGCTTCCTAGAAAAATTTCAAAGACACAGATTTACCTTGCAAGAAATTTGGATATTTCATAGGCCTCATGTCAATCAGCCACCAAGAAGAACTACAACACAGTAGAAGTAAGACTTGCATAGGTTAAAACAATTAAGAAAACAACTCCAAAACATCCTCCTCCCTGCAGTATTTCAAAATTTCACTCTAATTTCTACTTCTTCCCCCACAGTCAGTTAGCCACCCACAGTACCTGACATGGCAGGTGGGAAAGGGAGAGACATCTGGAGGAGTGCAATAGCTCACATTACAAAAACCCACACTTTGCCCTGGGGAAATTCCTTTCACCTTCTTGAGACAGGTTCAGTGGGTGTAGTCAGAGTAGGGTGAGGGCCTCTGGGAAAAGCAGGGCAGAATATTTACAGTCAGAGACACCTCGGTGATGGGATATGCCAAACGACTTTAGCAGAACTGTCTTACATCTCATGCTACATGTTCCTACCCTGTGTTGCTATTACTCTGTTACTCTTGAATCTTCAGGAAACATTACAGACTGGTGTTAGCTTTAATGTGAGGAAAGAAAGGAGTCTGTGTCCAACCTTGAAGGAAAGCATTTTGGAGAGAAAACCCAGCAACCTTTTTCCTTCTTGTGAGAGATATACTCACAAGAAGGGAAAAACATGGTCAACAGTGAAGTTTGGAGCAGCAGACTGGAAAAACATCAACAAGCAAGAGGGATTTGTGAGAACCTGGCCCTGTGTTAGAATGACAAAGGGTGAGTAGCTAGGAGGAAGGAGACTTCCTGCAATCGTATGGCTAGGGGGCAAATGGATGGGGTCTTTTAAATTTGGATATTGGATGCAGGATGACCCCAAGGCTGGAAAACTTGAGGACACTGCATGAAAAATGGACAAAATGCAGACTGGAAGGCTAGTTAGTACATTTTTAATCTTGTTTGTAAATTTCTACACCACACAAACTCAAGGTAACACATGGCAAATGCTACGTAGTTACAAGTGAATTGTATTCACATTATCCATAATTTGGGTTTCCCCTCACAACTGTCTTTCAGGGAATAAAAAATGTAATGAAGATAATGAAGAAACTTTTAGAAATTCACCCAAATGGGATAAATCATAGATCAAAAAGTTTAGATTTCCCCATCATCTAATTAATCTTTCAAAGGAAACACAAAGAAAACAAGCATCAGAGGATCAAATGTGACTCTGACTAAAAAGTTGAAAATACTATAAACTCAATTTTGATTTAAACATGTCCAATTGAACACACGTTTACCAGCTTACACCAAACTCAATTACATGAGTAGCAAAGGAAAAAAACATGACAAATATTCAAAAGGACATGAAGACACAGAACAGAAAAAAAGAAAACAGTAAAATAAAATCTTGAGAAACAAAAAGCAATTTAACAGAATTACCAAGGATAAATAGTAAAAAAAATGCTCCATTTGACAAGGAGGCAGCATGGAAAAAATTAGAAGACAGCAAGAATCAAGCTAATTTGCACCAAAGAATTGTCAGGAATTAGAGGGAACCTGTACCTTGGAAACCATGGTCATGAACGGATGAGGCTGAAAAGATGACTGGGAGTATATTTTAGGATCAGCTCAGTCTCATATCCCTTTTCCAACTTCACCCACATCCTTACAAGACAGGAGATAACTCCTCTGGAAGTGTTGATCCAGAGAGGATATAGAGGTAGGAAACTGAGCACACTGGAGGGGAAGGTAGAGGTACTGAATTGAAAATGGGAGAACACTATAAATGTTACTGAATGGCAAACCAATCAGTCTCCTTTCCCAGTCGATGACCAGAACTCCAGGAGCCAGACTGACATCCACAAGCCTTACCCTCAAGCAGGAAACCAGGTTTCCCTCTGGGTAAACAGACACTGCAACAGAAGAAACTCAACATACAGACATTTGGTGACCTTGTTGGGGAAATGGGTGAGACTACACCCAACACTCCACAGTAACACAGACCTGTTGACAAGACCTGTCCACATATATGGAGATGCTAATGAACATTTTTTGGTCTCTGTGTCTTAAGCCTAAATTGGCACCTAAAGAAAAGCAGGTATTTTGAGGATACTCTCATCTTTAAAAAACGATCAAATCTCAAATCAAAAACTTTACATATACTTGTAGTGGAATAAATCATAAGTGCAGAGGTAAATATGAGGATGCCACTCAGGTTGTGACATCAAAAAACAGATGGAAAATAACTGACAAAGATAAGAAAATTAGAGCATATATGCAGGCATAAATACCCAAAAATGGAAAATATAGGACAGGGAATTTACTAAAAATTAATACAAGAAAATTACCATGAGCTTACCAAGAGCATAAGTTTGTAGACTGAAAGGGGTCCAGAGAAGAGCACAATGAATAGAAAGAGAGCCCCTTCAAGGCAGAAAATCATGACATTTCAGGACACTGGGAATAAAAGTTACAACCACAAAGAGAGAATCATAAATCCAATCCCTTTCTTCTCCTTTTGAAGTTATGGTCACTATCTCACTTCTATGCTTCCTTATAAAACAAAAGAGTAGGCATCAACTTTTTTAAAAAGTGGTCTTCCTAAAATATTTCCTGAAGATTAAGATAAATACAACATTTCTAGCTCTCTGATTCCATAGAACCGCTACAATTCAGAATTTTGCAGTTATTTCTCCCTAAAACAAAGTGACTCTTAATGGCCCATGACCAAAGCAATATTTTTACCTTGGTCCTTTCCCTCCACCTCTTACTCTGGGACAAAGCTGATACCAAATACATAAAAATTATATCAACCATTTTCTTCAGTGGGAGTATCTGCTCTGTTTTAACTGGCATTTTTACTGGACTAGTGTTGAAGTCTGCATATGTCTACCTTTTCTCCTAATAACTGAGTATGAAAAGCTCACTAACTCAATTTGAGTTCATATATTCAATTTTTCTTTTATCAATTTAAGAAAATCACATTTGCCTCTCTCCTCAAAAGGTTCAAACCTATTTGATCTATTTTCCAAAATATGCCTGGCCCAGATGACCACTGATACCAATTCATCATTAATGTGAGAAACTGTGAGTCACTATTTGCTCAAGGAGCTTTATTCTATAGACCAAAATTTACTTAGACTTAGGCCAAGGTGGCATGAAAACAATTGTCTACAGTCAGTTGCATTTAGTGAGAACTTCTGAAACCATTATACTCTGACCAAAGCATCTCAGGAAATTTCCTCGTAAGCAGGACATAGCTTATTCAGCCATGGCAAGTCATTACTGTAAAGTTTTCCTTTTTAATATAAAGTAACAAACACACAAAAATTATAATGAAACAATCATTCAAACCATTATTTACCCATACACACAAGTGACAAGCTTTCACATTAAGTGAAAGGTCTGACTTTATCAAAATAAAGCTTAAATAGAACTGTTCAGCTACAAGAAACCTATTTTCCAAACTCCACGTCTAGTGAATGGTCTGACAGTAGGAATAAACATTTAAAATTGAATTTATCCCAGAACATTTGGGAAGTGTGATTACCCTATCTGTAGCTTTAAAGCAAGTTCACAGTTTTCCAAATAACTAGTCCTTTTTAATATGGAAGATTTCAGCATGTCTAGAAAGTGTAAAGGGACCTGAAAAAAGAGAGATACACAGAACTAGGTTCAAGGAGTTTTCTTATCATAAGCTCCAGATGTCTTCATTCTTAGTCCTGGGTCTTGCTCATCTTTTTGTGCTATCACATCAGGATGAAGACGGGAACAAGTTTACAGAGAAAAGAAGTGCCAGTGTAATGACTCTGCAGCCAGATAATGCAGAGATAGCAAGGCATGCTCACGGTGCAAAAGGACACACGTTGTCTAAAATAGGAATTCTAATCTCACGGGGCTTCCCTGTGTGTGAATTTAACCTTTAGAATTAAAATTCTTGAACCCCTGGAAATGAACTACTGCTTTATGTAAACGTCAGAAAACAGATGGGAGTGTGTTCCAGGCAGCACATTTCAATACAAAGACAGTTCCTTTACCTGCCAAAGCTGCAGTGCTGCCTCCAAGGATAAATCTGAGGGTAACAAATTCAGTGAAGCTACCCCACAATGCAGCTCAAGTGCAGAGACAAGTGCTTCTGTGATCCCCAAACATTCACATTATCACAGAAACAAGGAGCAAACAACTTGGTCTGACATAATAGATATTTTTTATTCTAAAAGTGTTAAAACTGGCTCTTCATGGTGCTACTAAAGACTTTTAAATTGCTTCATCAACAGATTACAGATTTTTTCCAGTTTTTGGTGCTGACGGGTTAGCAATAGGTAGCTGCTTCAAAAAATATCTTGAGTTCAATAATTTTTGTTCATTTTGGGATTTAGAAGGCAAATTTTTAGATAGGTGAAACAATAATGCATTATTGTGATAGAATCTAAATTTAACATTTTATTATGGTAAAATATGCTTAACACAAATTTGACCATCTGAACTTTTAAAAAAATATGGAACACTGCATGAATTTGCACGTCACCCTTGCACAGAGGAAATGCTATTCTCTGTGTCATCCTTATTTTAGTGTATGTGCTGACGAAGTGACCACTCTACCACTTGTAAGCGTACAATTCAGTGGTATTAAGTACTTTCATATTGGGTACTACCACTGCCATCCAGCTCCATAATTCTCTTCATTTTGTAGAACTGAAACTCTATACCTGTTAAACAACTCTCCATTCCCTTGTCCCTGTAGCCTCTGGCAATCACCATTCTATTTTCTCTCTCTGATTTTGACTAGGGATATCATGCACATGGAATCATATAGTATTTATCTCTGTAACTGGCTTATTTCACTTCCCATCACATCCTCAAGGTTAATCCATGTTGTAGCATGTGTCAGAATATCCTTTCTTTTTAAGACTGAATAATATTCTATTGTATGCATTTATCACATTTTTCTTGTCCATTCATCCACAAATGGCCACTGTGTTGGCATTTTTTAAATATTATGGATAATGCTATCAACATGAATAATCCTAAATTTAAATGAATGCTTAATGCAGTTTATTTTGTCAAGAGAGGTAGGTTCATGTTCAGACAAAGTTAACAACCAATCTATATTATGCACTTTTAAAATCACCCAATTTTCAACAACCAGATATGGTAATTATATAACTATAGTTACACTGAGCACCTTCACTGGAGACATCTTAGCAGCAGAAGGGATGCAACCAAATAAATGTTCAAAAATGTGGGTTTACAAAGAAATACAAGGCATCCAGATTGGTAAAGAAGAAGTCAAACTGTCACTATTTCCAGATGACATGATATTGTACATAAAAAACCCTAAAGACTCCACTCCAAAACTACTAGAACTAATATCTGAATTCAGCAAAGTTGCAGGATACAAAACTAATACACAGAAATCTGTGGCTTTCCTATACACTAACAATGAACTAACAGAAAGAGAAATCAGGAAAACAATTCCATTTACAATAGCATCAAAAAGAATAAAATACCTAGGAATAAACCTAACCAAGGAAGTGAAAGACCTATACCCTGAAAACTACAAGACACTCTTAAGAGAAATTAAAGAGGACACTAACAAATGGAAACTCATTCCCCATGCTCTTGGCTAGGAAGAATTAATATCGTCAAAATGGGCATCCTGCCCAAAGCAATATACAGATTTGATGAAATCCCTATCAAATTACCAACAGCATTCTTTAATGAACTGGAACAAATAGTTAAAAAATTCATATGGAAACACCAAAGACCCCAAATAGCCAAAGCAATCCTGAGAAGGAAGAATAAAGTGGGGGGGATCTCACTCCCCAACTTCAAGCTCTACTACAAAGCCACAGCAATCAAGACAATTTGGTACTGGCACAAGAACAGAGCCACAGACCAGTGGAACAGAATAGAGTCTCCAGACATTAACCCAAACATATATGGTCAATTAATATATGATAAAGGAGCCATGGACATACAATGGGGAAATGACAGTCTCTTCAACAGTTGGTGTTGGCAAAACTGGACAGCTATATGTAAGAGAATGAAACTGGATCATTGTATGACCCCAGACACAAAGTAAATTCAAAATGGATCAAAGACCTGAATGTAAGTCATGAAACCATAAAACTCTTAGAAAAAAACATAGGCAAAAAATTTTTGGACATAAACATGAGCAACTTCTTCATGAACATATCTCCATGGGCAAGGGAAACAAAAGCAAAAGTGAACAAGTGGGACTATATCAAGCTGAAAAGCTTCTGTACAGCAAAGGACACCATCAATAGAACAAAAAGGCATCCTATAGTATGGGAGAATATATTCATAAATGACAGATCCAATAAAGGCTTGACATCCAAAATATATAAAGAGCTCATGCACCTCAACAAACAAAAAACAAATAATCCAATTAAAAAATGGGCAGAGGAGCTGAACAGACAGTTCTCCAAAGAAGAAATTCAGATGGCCAACAGGCACATGAAAAGATGCTCCACATTGCTAGTCATCAGAGAAATGCAAATTAAAACCACAATGAGATATCCCCTCACACCAGTAAGGATCGCCACCATCCAAAAGACACAACAAACGTTGGCGAGGATGTGGAGAAAGGGGAACCCTCCTACACTGCTGGTGGGAATGTAAATTAGCTCAACCATTGTGGAAAGCAGTATGGAGGTTCCTCAGAAAGCTCAAAATAGATATATCATTTGACCCAGGAATTCCACTTCTAGGAATTTACCCTCAGAATGCAGCAGCCCAGTTTGAAAAAGACAGATGCACCCCTATGTTTATTGCAGCTCTATTTACAATAGCCAAGAAATGGAAGCAACCTAAGTGTCCATCAGTAGATGAATGGATAAAGAAGAGGTGGTACATATATACAATGGAATATTATTCAGCCAGAAGAAGAAAACAAATCCTACCATTTGCAACAACATGGATGGAGCTAGAGGGTATTATGCTTAGTGAAATAAGCCAGGCGGAGAAACATAAGTACCAAATGATTTCACTCATCTGTGGAACATAAGAACAAAGGAAAAACTGAAGAAACAAAACAGCAGCAGAATCACAGAACCCAAGAATGGACTAACAGTTACCAAAGGGAAAGGGACTGGGGAGGATGGGTGGGAAGGGAGGGAGAAGAGGGGCAAAAAAAGAAAGGGGCCATTAAGATTATCATGTATAATGTGGGGGGAGGCACGGGGAGGGTTGTGCAACACAGAGAAGAGAAGTAGTGACTCTACAGCATCTTACTATGTTGATGAATAGTGACTGTAATGGGGTTTGTCGGGGGGACTTGGTGAAGGGGGGAGTCTAGTAAACATAATGTTCTTCATGTAATTGTAGATTAATGATACCAAAAAAAAAAGTGTGGGTTTCTATTTCTTGTGAAAGGGTGTGATCAATAAATAAGGGAAATTGGGCCTAAGTTATTCACATCATGTGAGTCCCAAAACACACACACATGAAACACTAAAATTTGCACTGGCAAGAAAGGAGTAAGGAATGGAAAGGACACAGGATATTGTAGGTAGTGGGGATGGGACAATTTTGTCCACATCACAAATGCTAAATTTTACCCTATGATTAATTGTCTTGCCTTTCTCTGGACAACATGAGCCACACACTGAAATGGAACTGAACTAGGAGGTAACACTTTATAGCCACACATGTGCTATTTTGATTTCCTTAATTGTCTAAAAATATTTCTCAAACACAAATTTTCTAAATCTTAAAGAAATCTAACATTGGTAGACATGCATGCAAACTTCATTTCCCCACTATTTCAGGTTAAGCCAATATTTCAAGTTAGACATTTCTCCATTTTACTACTATAGAGTTACATAGTTCATGGACTAGCTTTTTGTCAGGTTTATTGAACCATTTTAGATAATTGTGGAAATTTGCTTCTAAAAATTACAACTCATTATCTGCTCTCTCCAGCACTCAACCAAAACCTGTAGTACTAATTTTAACCTCACATGCTATTTTAATAAAAACCCAACAGCAGGTGTTAGTGTAAGGGGCATATAGGTTTTGAATCAAAACACTTGATTGGCAATCACTACCATGATTCAGCATATTCAAAGATCCATAACTCCAAAAGTTTAAGAACCAGAGCAAAGTAAATATAAGAATTCATGCATCACATTCAATATTTGTAAAGTAATGGTTTAATGATTAATGTAATAATTTTATGTACCAAAGACAGAAATGCTATTAACTGAAAGCAGGAGTCACAGGCTATGTGGTACATGCGTGAAAGGATGTCACAGGGTCTGGCAATTTCCACTTTGCTCTCTCCATCCACCACAGCATTTCTGGGGGTTGCTGCTGATTGAGCATTTCTAAATTCCCAGTAAATATTAATCTTTGAGATATGAGAATAAGAAATCAGAATTCCCTGGAATGTTCATAAACTTCTAAAACCATAAATTACTCCCAACATATATTTCCAATGCTCTACATTCTCTACTCAGCAGGGACATATAAAACAGGATTAATAATTGCAAATATTAACTTTACAAAGAAACATAGCCAAGAGTGAATATTAAAACATTGGAAAATACCAGTGAATAATATTGAGTTGTATTTCAATAGCTAATATTCAAATTTCCTAGCAAGGTTAATATCAACATCACTACACAGAATCATGTGTTGAAATTGCCAACTGAGAACTTAGTGGTTCCCAAATTCATTATTTTTTGGAACATGACTCATGGGAGTTCTATAAAGTATATTACATATATAAACTCTTAAAGCTTATTTTATTTGCAAGAATGATTCGACATTAGTGGCAGACAGACACACCCACACTTATACCATGGTAATAGCTGAAAGACTGCTAAAATTTCCACCATGCTTCTATGCATGTTCTGAGCCCAGTCCCCAGAAATTTCTCCATTTGGTTACACATCTTTCAAATATGTAATGCTTTCATATTCATTTTTAAGTATTCATTTTCTCAAGCGGGTTAGAATACATTTTTCTTGTGTTCCAAAACTCCTAACTTTTCTTGTGATTTGAGACTCAGGAAAACAAGTTTCTGAAAGAATGTTAGAGAAAATATCCCAGATGGAAATGTTATGGAAAAACCTGGACTAGATCACTGATGGAAGAACCAAGTGGCACTCGGAGGTCTTGGAGGATGGAGGTTTATTTCACACCAGCTGGCCCAGAGGGGAGTAATCTCCCAAGTTCTGAGCCCCGAGCACAAGCAAGGAGAGCAATGTATACCATTCCTGATATGTGGCATTTCAGTGTGCGCAGCAAGCAGGGCGAAAGAGGAAGCCCAGAGGAGTGAGAAAGAAGGGGAGGGGGACTGGGTGTATTCTGCTGACTTTGCCAAAGAATAGCTCAGAGGAGTGAGAGAAGTGGAGGGGGCTGAGGGTTTTCTGCTGACCTTGTTGGCCTTGTTAAATATTTTCCTTATCAGAACCACTAAGAATCCTTTGTGACTTGGAGAATGTATGGGTATGTTCTTCACCTTACTAAAGTTTAAGGCCAGATCTAAAGGTAGATTTCAACCCATGGGGTTCTACTCTTGACATGGCTTTACTCTCCATTACAAAGCACATGCCTTTAGGAGAAAGG